CTGTTGGGACCGGTGTTCTTAGAAAGCAAACCCAGGAGGCCTTGTGCCCATCACCACCTCTCTGCCCACTGGTGTACAGCCCATACTGCGGCTTATCTGCTCAGTAGGTGGGCCTGTATTGGTGCCCTTTCATCAGTGGAACTGGTGAATTCCTCGGGTGACAATACCTCGGTCCTTGGCTTTGCACGAAAAATTCACGCCGAAGCCTGGTTTGTGATCCAAGTGGGGTTTTATAAAGGATAGAAGTTTCAGGTTTTACAGTTAACTGAACACGGGACTGCACCCCCACACCCGTGGCCACCGGAGGCCAGAGAGACCGCAGCAGGCCGAGTGAAAGGCAGAGGAGCGGCAGGAAAGAGGGGGTGGTCTCGCGGGTCCTGCCTTTTGGGGCCTTTCGGCTGGGAGGCATGGTCCACCCTATTGGACGAATTAAGCCCACTTGGCCTAGATTGGGCCAATCCAGGTCCACCTAGGCCCCTTCCCGGCTGGAGGCCTGAATTGGCGCATGCCCGGTGTACATCCTGGTCCCTGCTTGCTACCTAACAGATCTGGCCCCACAGCCCTGGCCCTGGAAGGCAACAGCACACACTGGAGTTGGTGAAGAACGGAGTCAGCACTGAGGCCATGGGCCCACCCCGTGAGACCCTGAAGCCTGAGGCAGACACGTTCTGTGTCTCTTCAGCTTTCGCTTCTTGCGTGTTTTGCCTCTTGGCCCCTCAGCCTCTCAGGCATCCTGGGTCAACGTGGCCTCTGCCCTGCACGAGCAGGGGTTACAAAGCTCTTGAGTTCTACCCTTAAATGCCGAGAGGCACCCCACTCCACCAGCCAGCTTCAGCCCAGAGGCTCCTCAGCTCTTTTGCTCCGTAGGTGAGCAAGCCCAGCTCTGTGGCCAGCTTCGAGAGTATGCCAGTCTGGTGCCCTTATCTCGTCTTTCTCTACTGCATAGGCCCCAAACTGGGTTTCCTCGCAACTATAACCTTGTGCTGATGCTTGTCTCCTTCAGCATAGGTGTGGCTGGCATTCCTTGGATATCCACACGCCTTGGTATCAGTCTCCAGCATAGGGACCCCAGGCCCAAAGAGTGTGCCCCGCTCCTGGCTTTTCTTTCTTGCTCTTGTTGTTTTTAGTGACTTCTCTCTCCTTTTCTCTCTGGTTAGATAAAAGGTGATGCAGGTCACACCTCACCACGGGGAAACTCCTCTCAAGTCGGCTCGGGACTGGGACCTGAGTAGGAAATGTTGCATCCCGTCCTAGTCTTCTTACAACTAACTGGGCATTATGGTCCAGCCAAGTGGCCCCATTCTTTTGGGGACACAACACAAGCCACTGGTCCTCTTCCTGGTATCTAAACTCGGTGTCTGGATCCACAGGGTGGGTAACTCTGGGTAACAGATGTACTACGCAGCCCTCGAAGCTCCCGTGGAAGAACCTTTGCCTCTTGGGGTCTTGGTTTCTTCCACAACAAAATGCCTTTTTTGAGGTCACCTGCCTGTCCCCTTCTGGCTCCAACCTACTCTGTCCGAGCTGAACCTGGGCTACAGGTGAAGCATGTCACACAAAACCTGACACAGACAGAGGGACTGGACCTCCCAGGATGCATCATGCGTCAGATGGTGTGCCCCTTCCCCCCAATCCACACCCATTTAGGATCTGTGAACATGACCTTATTTAGAAAGAAGGTCTTTGCAGATGACATCAAGTTAAAATGATGTCATGTGGGATTAGGGTGGGCCCAAGTATTAAAGTGAAAGCAAATACCTGTCTCAAGCCATGATACTGTCAACCCCCTCCTCCGTGTGTGAAAGCTGGACAAGGAGCAAGGCAGGCCGCGAAAGAGCAGATGCATTTGGATTAAAATGCTGAACAAAGGACACGGAAAAGACCAAGGACTGCCCACAGAACGAGCCCTCTGGCCTGCCACTGCACAAGACTCTGTCTCACGTCCTTGGGACATGTTGTCCGGAAAGACCAGTCCCTGGAACAGGACACCATGCTTGTGGTGCCACTGCAGGTGTCCCAGACTGTAACTCTACTACGGGAGCCAAAAGCTCCTGCGGAGCGGCTGGTGGGTTCAACTGCGGACTTGGCAGTTGGCAGCCTAGCAGGTACCCACTGCTCCACCTGCCCGGGCTCCACTGGTAGAAGGCGGGTGAAGAAGATAAAAAGCCTCAGGGGCAGCGATGGGCTCAAACGTCCCCCAAATGACAAGGGCAGCGGAGGACTGGGCAGTGTTGTCTGTTCTCTTCACCAGCAACAGCAAGAACAGTTTATACGTGGAGGTTCCAGGCCACGACGAGCTAACGAGTCCAGACTTTACCCTCAGTGAAAACCACGGCCCAGAATAACATTAGGAAGGAAATGTGCCCTTTAAAAGGGTTAATGCAACAGATTTAACTCATGCCTGGATGTGGGGTAGGGTGGACAGGAAACAGGGAGAAGGAACCTGAGGGTGGGAGGGAGTCCCCCCTGCTCGGCCTGAGCCCTTGACTCCCCTTCCACGGTGCCCTGACCTCTGAGGTGGAAACTGGCACGGCTGGATCCTGTCACGTGTCACGGGGTAGGTTACAAAGAGCACGGGATTAGCAACCCCCTTTGGAAACTCATGGTTCAAGGGCAGGGAAAGTTACCAGTTGAATTCCGAGAGATGGTTAGTGGTCGGGAACCAGGAAGGGGGGTCCATGGTAAAGGCAGGCTGTGCCCCTGTATGAGAGCTTACAAGGGGCCTGCGGAGGGCCTGCCCACAACGGGATGCCAGGCCCGCATGCCTGGGTGGCTGGAGAGAGAATCCCGACTCACATCCGGATGGGGCGCACGCTCCCAGACCTCGCGTCTCCAGGACTAGCTGTCAGGGAACTGGTGGCCTGGCGCCTGCTCCAGTGACCCGTCAAGGGCTCCCAAGCGGCCAGAGGGTCACGGCACCAGGGCGTATCTGTGCCCCGGCAACGGAGAGACCCACTGCACCTCACCTCAGCCGCGCAGAAGAGGGTCAAGGCCGCTCCTTCATGTTCCCTTCCTGTCACCCTTTCCTACCTCCCCGGGCAGGGTCTTAGGAACCAGGGGAACCGTCCCTGTCCGCCGCCTGGACCCGGGCCGGGACAGAGCAGTTCGGGCAGCCAAAGTAACCTCGACTGGCGGGGGGG